CGATTAAATTTGGGAGAGCGTATTTTAATTGGTGATAACAATTATTTTTGTTTTTGCGTGGATCAGAATGAATAGGGGATCAATGAATTGATTTTGTTATTAGCGAATAATTTTGTTTAAAGATAAAAGTTTAAATAAAGTATTTATTTTATTTATTTAGTTCTTAGTCGAAACTAATTAGCTTGTTAGAAAGTTACTTTACAATTACATTGAATTCAAGTTCCTTATATACAATTCAATTAATTAGTAATTCTAATTTCCCAAAATTGATATATTCTCCCAAAATTGAGAAGTTATCCCAAAATTGTGACGATATCTCAAAATTGCGACGATATCTCAAAATTGCGACGATATCCCAAAAATTGTGAGGATATCCCAACGACGTTATACAAATAATTAATAGAAATAAACAAGTTTACAAATGAGGAAGCAAAGTGAGCCATCGAGATTTTCATTTACGCTTCCCATAATTTCTTTTATCCTTTTGCTTTATAGTTTCTTGATATCACCTTCTTGTTTAAAATACCTCCAAGCAATATTCCTTTTTTTACTTCCTCTTCACAAATCATTTATTTTTCATGATTAACAGTATTTAAATCATTCAAAGACGATGGTGCTTTTAGGCTTAGAGCAGGACTAATACACAAATATAACAATCATGATTGTCTTAATATATTAATTTCTGATTGCATAATCTTTTGATAGGTGAAAAATGAAAAACAATTTTATTTATTTATTATGTTGATAATTAATTGAAAACAAATTTTCTAATGATTTTTTTTTTACATACTTTTTTTACAGGTATTTTTTTATTACATCTATTCTTTTAAGCCATTTTGGTTCAAGAGATTTATTTAACCTTTTGTACTCATCAATAACATGTCTATGTAATCAAAATCAAAAGATAATATATCCAGAGAATCCCCCACAAAGGTGCCCTACTCATCGCCACATATATCTGTCCTGTGGTGAACATATTTTCATCAATGGATACAGTTGAGTGTGGTAGTGTAAGGCCTTGTGTCTTGTGAACAGTGAGTGCAAATGCATTCTGAATTGGGAATTGCCTCCTGGATGCTGGTATTCCATTGATAGTGAAGTATGTGATTTCTCTTTGAACATTTATCTTTACAATATTGTTAGCTGTGGGTAAAGTAACCTCAACATTATCATCATCAATTACCTTGGTGATTACTCCTATTGTCCCATTACATATTCCATGTTCAAACAATTTATTGTTTAGGAACATTATGCGAGCACTTCCAACAAACATCATAAAAGAATCCTTTTGTATATCCTGGATCATGATGTCTTTGTTGGAATTAAAGGCCCTGAATGTAAAGTCCAAAAAATCATCATTTTCAAGTCTTGAAGTTGCCACACCATTCAAAACATTAGATACACTCGCAGACTTTACAAATGCGATTGTAGATAAAATGGAAGGCATAATTATTTATGAGTTTTATTTTTTATTTTTTTTTAAATATGATTTAAATTATTTCGTGAGTATCAAATATTTTCTTTGCATCTAGTAGTTCATTTGCTTAACCTTTTTATACAACCTTTCTTCACTAACCAAATCGTAAAAATCAGTAATTCAATGAATGGCAGCACAAGAAACATATGTTAATGTAGACATGACAATAAATGCACCCACATGTGAAAAAAAAAAAGAAAGACATAAGGTGTAAAAATAAACACATAGTTGCATAAGTACATGTTCTTAACAATTTCGAACACGTTGATTGACAGCAACAACAATCAATGATGGGCGTAGGAACACATGTTAACATTGCAGCATGGATAACATGACAATAAACATATCCACACAGCATAAAAAAAAGAAAGATGTATGGCGTGAAAATAAACACGTAGTTCGTTAAACTTTTTTGTTGTAAAGAACTTTTATTTATTAATAAAAAAAGGAAATAAATAAATCAAATAAATCAAGTGTATGTTGTAGAAAATATTCCATGAAAAAAAAAGTTGTTACACGAAATTTACTTGGTCTCAATTTCTTAAATGTATAACAAAATTCGGAATTTTCAAAATGCTAAGGCTATGCCAATTTTCAATTTAAGGAAAAACCAGCCGATAAGTTTTGAAGCTTGAGTCATGAACAATAAAACTTATCGGTAAATTTTTTAAAATGTTATAATTTTTTTTTGTTTTAGTATTTTGAAGTTGACCAATTGTTACTATAAGCAATTAATGATTATATATGATCTGCACCGTACTTTGACTTTAGACAACCCCAAAAACAATTTAGACGCCCATCTATAGTCTTGTCAAATTTAATTTACCCTTTTTCAACAAACAAGGCCCGAGAAAAATATTTGAACTTTGCATGTGGTGGTGTGCTCTCTCATGTGCAATGTGAAAATTACCAGATCTGGAAAATTTTTTGATCACAGCGTGGTTACTGACCTATCTAGTTTTTGATCTTGTTCTAACCTTTTAATATTAAACAATCAATAATTTTTTAATAATTAATATTTATGTAGTTTTCGGGGCTCTCTTCACTTAGCGAGTTAAACCCTGAAATCTCAATGCTCAATATTAAATAATAATCTAAATATTTTTTTTTTATTTCATCGTTCGTTCGTTCGTTTTTCTTTTTATTCTCTTCAATTTTTCATTACATATCTATAATAATTTTATAACAATTATATATATATATATATATAAGTATAAACATTCAATATTGCAAAAAAAACCCCCTCCATTTCCAAGTTTATCATTGACAATATTATCCAACAAAATGGCAGAAAAGGTTCTTTTTATCTTCATGTTATTATTATATTACTGTTGATATTTTTTTTATACTCATTAGAGTATATAACACGTTAAATTTTACAATCGGCCATTATTAATTCATTTTATTGCGTTAAATAAAAATGCATATATATATATACAAAATATTCATGTTTTGTGCATATAGATCATATATGAAAAAAATATAGTTGTGGTTATTGATCAGGTAAAATAAATAAAAATAATTTGTTTAAATATTAAAAGCAAAAACATTTTTAAAATTCCATAAACAAATTATATTTCTAGGAAGTAACAAAATTTCAATCACCTGATGGATATTCTATACGTGAATGGAAGTTGACGATTTATGCAATTAACGATGTGGGAGCAAAGTTTCAAGCTAATTTTATTGAAAAAGTTGAATATAATTTACATCCAACCTTTAAAAATCCAACAAGAAGTTAGTTTTTTTTTTTTTTAGGTTATTTGTTTTTTATTGTAAATAAAAATAAAAATGATTTTTTTAAAAACTTTTATTAGTTATGAAAAAAGCACCATTCACTATCATAGAAAAAGGTTGGGGAGAATTTGATATGAATATCAGACTTTTTTTTCCAGATAAATCAATCGATCCATGGAATATAGATTTTGATCTTAATTTTCAAAAACCCCATTATGAAGTTATCTATAATTTGGTAATTATAATAATAATAAAAATAATGGAATTTTTATTTAATGAATAAATTAGATGAATGGAGAGATGAAATCAATTATAAATTTATATATATCCAACTATTTATCTTGTATGTATATAATGTATATATATAGACATTTACCGAACCTAAACCAGAGTTTCATAGATTGCTTAAAAAAGAAATACCAGTGTTACATGATTCACGAATTTCATCAGTATCTTCATCATCCTCGGCTGTAAAATCTAAATTAAAACCTGGTAGACCAAAAAGATCATCATCAACTACTACTACAAAGACAACATATCCTTCTGCAAGATCCTCTGCCATGATCAATAATAAAATCAGCTCAACTACTACCACACCGACTACAATTAATAGTACTACTACTAATAACAGAACACAAACTCCAAATCGGTATAAAATCGATGATTCTCCAAATTATGAATCTTCTTCACGATCTTCTTACTCTTCAACTGATTCCGCTTATGATAAGGAAAACTGTTTGGTAATGTGTATAACATACATCATATTATTATTATTTCTAAAAGATATTAATTTGGTTCCAAAAACAAATTTTTTAATAGATTGATTATACAAGGTTGGCAAATAATCTGAGTTCATTAGAAGGCAATGATATTTTGGAAGTTATAGATTTAATAACACGAAATCGTACGAATGATATGTACATAAATGATGACATTGATGGTAAATGATTGTTTCTTGGTGGTGGGCAAAAAATAATGAAAGATTGTGATGAGATAGAGTGTAATTAATTGTACAATTATTTATAAATTTATAAATTATTTATTTATTAATAACTTTTTTTTATTTCAAAAAAATAAAAAATAAAAAATAAAAAAAAATAAGGAGAATTCCATATGGATCTTTATTCGCTTGGGGAAGATTTACTTAAAGTGTTATGGGATTTTACTGAATCGAGACTTTCAGGTTTTCTATCCAAGTATTTAAAAAAAATTACTATATAATATATAATTATTTTTTTATGGAAGATTTTATCGCGGTTAACTAATGAATATATATTTTATTTAGGTCGTGATCCATAAAATTTTATATATTTTATAATATTTGTTCTAAATAGTAGTAATACGATTTTAATAATAATCGTAATTTGAAAAAAAATTTTTCTATATTAAAAATTAAAAAATAAAAAAATTTAATTTGTAAATAATTGATATTTGGATTAATTGATATTATTATATTAATTTTTATTATTAGCATCGTTATTATTTGTTTTTAGTGAAATATTAATGATCAATGAAAATTATTTAATTGTTCAAAAAAATTACTTTTTTACAAAAATTTAAATTGATGAATGAATTAAATTTCTATTTGTAAATAATAATAATAAATTATTTTTAGATTTAAACAATATCTAGCTAGTATAATGAATATATTTATGAACTTAATAATTTCAAATGTTCCATTGAACAAGCAAATTCTTCGAATTTTTTTACATTACGATATTTTTTAGGTTTATCACAACCAGATAATGAACATGATGGAATTGGTGGAGGATACCTATCAACAAATATATTAAAAATGAAACGTGAAAAATAATTGTATTAGATATAAGATATAACAAGATGAAAATTGCAATATAATTACATTTCAAAATAATATAATAACTTACTTTGGACCTTTTTCAAATTTTATGGGGATCTCAACACCAATTGGAATTGATAAAGTTGATCCATCAACAGATTTAACATAATGAATTGAATTTGATGGTAGTGTTAGTGTTGCAGAAGCAGTAGCTGTTTTATTGTTGTTATTGATATTGTTATTGCTACTGTTACTGTTATTGTTATTGTTATTGTTGTAATCATTAAAACTATTATTATTACTGTTGCTAGCACTATCATTTTCATCTTGGTCTGCTTTTCTTTTTCTTGTAGCTTGTTTCTTTAATAATCTATTGATGGTATCCATCTACATACATATACCATATAGGGTTTAGAATAATGACGGGATATTGATTTATTATTAAATGTTTAGTATTTTTGAAAAAAACAAAAACCTTGTCTTGTTCAGCTCGTTGTATACTCTGATGCTTTCTTTTCCTTGCTATTTCTGATTTCTTTAATGCTATTTCTTCTTCTGTCAAATGCTTCTTTCTCGTTGTTTCTAATTCAATCAATAAATAAATAAATAAATAAATAAATAAATTTATTAATTAATTAACTATTTAATTTAATTTACTTACCCATGGGAAGTTCGAGTAAATCCTCTTCATAATTATCATCAAGTTTTGCTCGTTGTCTTTTCGTTAATACACGTCCTGTGTATGACGTTGTTGAAGATTCAGTTATACTTTTTTAAAAATTATAATAAATAAATTTAATATTTATTTTTTAAAAGAAAAGCCTTTTAATTAATCAACGAATATTTATCGCGTCCTTACCTCCCTTTATTTAAAAACAGAATTTTCAAAATTTTAATAAATTATAATTTACAAATTTACAAATTAATAAATCATCCATATATACATTCTAATTAATTAATTGGTCATATCATTCATTCACTTATTGATTAATTAATTCATCTTACCTCTTTTTCTTGAAGAGCTACTACTACTACTAAGTTGACGTTGAGATGATTTTTGTAGTGATGGTTGTTGTAGTTGTTGCTGTTGTTGTTGCTGTTGTAGTAGTTGTGGTAGTTGTGGTTTAATTTTTAGACGTGTAGTTTGTAGTGAGGTTTGTTTTAGTTGGTGTAAATTCTTTACACCTCTTGACGATTTCTTCGTAACAACTTCTTCATAATCACTTTGACCTTCATCTTCCTCCTCCTCCTCCACCTCTTCACTACTCTCTTCTTCCCCTTCATTATCAAAATCAACCTCTTCCCTCGTAATTAATCCTTCCTCTAATTCCTCGTCTTCCTCTACCTCTACTTCTTCTTCTTCTTCCTCCTCCTCCAACATATCTTCTTCCTCGTCACTCTGATGATAAATAATGTTATTTTTATTTGTTCTTCTTGTTCTTATACTACTATTATAGCCTTCAACTGTTCCCATTGACTCGTCGTCTGATTCTATAACGCTATCGTCAGAAATTTGTTCATCAGGTGTATTATTAGAATGTGATGCCGATGATGGTTCTCTATGACTACGTCCATGTATAGGGTTGGTACTTCTTGTAATATGTCTTCTTGAGGATGACGAACTCATGTTCATATATGTATGAATTTAAAAATGTTATTTATTTGAAATGGATCGACATCAATTTTATAGTAATATTAATGTTGTGAAAAAATCATAAATAATACTGTTCTCAGATATAATTAAAAGATGGCGATGACGTGAAACAATCAAACAAATAGTAACGTCTACTACATAATATTTATTTTTTTCTCGCTACGATCCCTATAAGAAATGGCAATTGCGAAACAGCATAAAAACAATATAATTAATTATTCTTTTCAAACAATCTGTTTTCCAGGCAAATAAATTAAAGTTTAAATATAAATTATTAAAATCCAATCATTTTAATGCAATGCAAATAAATACGAATTAAAATCAATCGCTTGAAATGAATGAATCTGGTTTGTCGTAAGTCAATTCACCAGAAGGTGAAATACAGCAGGCATAAAGTTGTAATCTATAATTTGTCAAACAAACTGCTAAACCGTTACTGTGAGTGGGTAATTAAAGCTGCCTTCAAGTTGGAGTAAATTCTTTGAAGAAGAAAAGTGACCTGTCCTCGATAATTATAAATCAAGCATTCATCTTACCAAAAATGTATTTGCATGAATGGGAATCTCGATTTCCAGATGCGGTAACATACCTTGTTTTCCTGATACAGCCAACGTATCTTTCTAGCCCTTTCTGCATGCATACGTTCCACTACGTCGTTAAAATTTAATTCTGACGGTTGCACAACTACCTTTAAATATTTTTTTAAATTCAATACAAAAAATAAGTGCATGCTTCAATCCCGAAACTTGGAACATGCAATTTTAACCCATCCATCAAGACATTGTTTTTATCCGACTACTCCTTTCCGATTGCATGTAGTAATTGTAGAAGTCGAAATTCATATTTTCAGGTTTCAAAAATTTAAAAACTTAAATTAAATTAAATCACACATAACGAGTTGTGTGTGTCATAGATGATCGTGTAGGTAAAATCGATCCCTGTTTGCTATCATAACCTTTGACTGTTGTTTATAAGCTTCCTGAAATAAATTTTGAACAAAAAAAGAATAGATTTCAAAAAAGGTCGTCTAACAAATAGATGATGGTGGGAAAACTTTTAAGCCATTTCTTCTCGTAACTCTAAGGTCGTACGTGAGCAATGCTGTGACTCGAAACTAAGTTTAAGGAACTTCAAATATCGAAACTAGTTTATAAAAATATCAAATGCCGAAACCTAAACTCATGCCGAAACTTAGACTCATACTAAAATACAAAACTATAATTTCTGCCATTAATACGGTGCAGATTATCTATAATCCAATCAATCAGTCAGCTTAAAAAAAATTATATTACATCTCCCGAAACTTATCGGCTAAACCAAAAATCCGCCGAGCTTGAAAATTCCGAATTGTAAATTTTACCTGAACAGTAACATTATTATCCAATCAAATTTTGAATTCTGGGAGATAGTTTCTAAATTTGTACTAATCATCTAATTCAGAAGTTTCTGATTTCGGATATATATATATAGGCTCTTCTCTCGACAATTCAAAAGAGTTTCGGGTCACAGCACTAGATGTATGATATTCTTTTATTATTTAACCATTGTGTTTATCATTTCCACTTTTCTTATTTGAAAATTTTTTTTTTGATCACGCAATAAAATAGAAAAAGAATCAAGTACAGCACAAATAATAATAATGACTGTAAACATGTCGTCACACGACATCTCTCACTATGAACTGGCTGGGATCAAAATTCTTTGATGTTACTTTTGACATTTTTTTATATCCTGTGTGACCTTTAAAAGTCAAAGTAGAAAAAATACTTTTGTTTGGTGTAAAAAATCTATTAAAAAAAGCAGTTTACAATTTTCAATTTCACTCTTTAATATTAATTAACAATTTGTGATTAACTTTAATCGGATTGGGATCAAATTGTCAAATCACATATGGTTTTAATATGATTAAACCTTGACTTTTGAATCAAAATAAATTTGGGTTGTATGTATGTATGCTTATATGTAAAAATACCTGAAATTCACATTCAAACTTGGTGCAAATTTCTTATCATTGTAATATATGTTTATGTAATTTTTTTTTTATCATTTAATAATAAAATAAAATTTTCCTTATCATAATCTGGGAAATCACACGATGCTAATTATAAACAAAGTGCGAATAATTCTTGTACTTCATGTCAAGATAATAATAATATTAATATATGCAGGTGGAAAAACGGTATCGATCCATTATTTCAAGCTGTATTCCAAAATAAGCCTAATAAAAACAGATTTAGAATTATATATTTTTACACAATGTCAAGTCACTAAATATGAATTGATATTCTGACCTGATTTAATAATGCAACTTATCTGATACCAGGAGTGAAAGTGGTAAATATCATTTTTCGTTAATTTAAGATTATTTGGGAACTTTTAAAAATGGAAATCAATGGGGGTGACCCAGATTCCTAAGATTGTAGTTTATGTAGATTAATTTAATTATTCAGCAATTTCAGTAGTTATCCGTTGTATATTTAAGCCCTAGATATTGTTATTTGATTATTAAATCATTGTCAAACTACAGGGTGTATTAATATTGAACTATTTTTGCCAATAAGCATATGATTAAAGATTTTATCTTCTTTAAAAAGATTTCTTCCATTTTTTATTATTACAGAAACAACAATGATAAGAATAATGATTGTTTTGTTTGTTAGGAAATTTATCCCAAAAACAAGATATTTTTGTAACATGGGAAAGAGGTTCCTTTATTAATATGAAATAAATATTTGTTTTATTAACGTATCATATGCGTGCGTTAGTTAGTATGTGTAACGCACATTTTTTATTACGCCTTTAAATTTAAAAAAAATTACCACTAACCTCTTATATATATATCGATTGAACTTATTTATACCTAAGCCTACAATAAGGCGCCTCGTGTTTATGACCCAACGCTGCCAACAACTCTTGCTGCGTTCCATCTTATACTATAAAAGTAGATTATGGCGCTGTTTACATCTCTCTATCAATGATTGATTTTCAAGATTTACATCTAAAGGTCCAGACGTTTTGCTATTGTATTCCTCAGTGCAGATAACCACATTGCACTGGACAAAATTCCGTCCCCCCACTGATGTCACAGGATACTCGTAAGATTTATATTGAAAAATCGGAAATGAGCATTTATTTGAATTGCACAGTTTTAGGTTATTATTATATATTTTTTCTAAAGCAGTAGGTTTCAGATTAGAAGTTTTTTCAGTAATTATTAATTTATTATTTTTTTCAAATTGTAATGTCATTAATTTACATAGATCAGGATAAATATGAGTGGAAAGATGATTTTTCATTAATGAAATAATTGCTAATTAATTTTTATTTATTTCATTTTGAAGTTGGGTGATTCTGATGTCTCATGTTCATTCGTTTTTAAATGTCTTTTAATTCCTTCTAGATTTAAATCTTTGTGCCTTGTGCAAATTTTGTACTTCCATTTCTACTTCTACAGAGTTTACAAAAAAGGACTGTATCTTCACTTTCTTCATCTTTTTCTAACCATGTATAATCATGAAACCAATTTTTGTTAACAGTTTTCTATTATGTTTTCATTGATTAAACATTTTAAATGAATGAATAACAATAAAAAATTGTTTTTTTTTTTCTTGATTTGATTTGAATTGAAATATTGAATTTTAAAAAATCAATAAGCATCAATGACAAAAAATGGAATTATTCTAGTGTGTTTGTTTATTTTCGTTATCAATAAAAATAGAATTAATACCCGAAACTATCAATAATAATAATATTAATAAAAAATGGAATTATTCTAGTATAATAAATAAAAGTATATTTGTTTATTTTTCGTTATTAATAAAAATAGAATTATACCCGAAACCGATATTGTTGACAAAAATGGAATTTTTAGTTATCAATAAAAAAATAGAATTATACTACTCAAAATCGACAGTAAAAATGTAATTAAAATATTAATTAGTTTTCAATTTGTTACACGAATTTTCTGCTAATGTATTATTGGCTACCTTTAATGTAACACACGTTCCCCGCACTCAATTCACGCACTGCGAACAACTCACCTGCAACTGAAAATATTACTGACAAATTCGTTGCTTCCACTGCTGAATGCCTACAATTTACACCTGCATAAGTAAATGAGTCGTAAGCATTTTTTCCCATCATCAAATAATTTTGTTGTTCCTCTTTCTTCTTTTGCGCAGCTTCTTCTTTGCAAGAGGAAGAAGAAAAAGAACCAAATAAAGATTCAATTAGTAGATCGTACATTTCGGGTTTGAATGGTAGTCACTTACGGAAAGGACTATTAGTAGAATTGTTTAAAATATATTAAATAATCGACGTATGCCTATAAAAATTTATTTATGGCAAGAGTTTCAGTAGATTTTGGCATGATATGGAAATCTAATTGGTAATTGAAATTTTATTTTGGTAAATGTTTCATTGTCCACACTGCTATATGTAGTATCTGTGCGTAAATTCTCACAATCTAATAAACATAATGGGATAAAATGGAAGACAAGGTTTTCGTCTTTTTCGAAAAAATGAAAATTTTCGTTACATTGTTTAATTGTTTAAATTGTAAATTGTCTAAATTGTAAATTGTTTAATTGTAAATTGTTCCGTCTTTTTCAAAAGAAAGGATTTATTATTATTGTTTTGCTTTGTCTTACATTTCACGCATTTAATATTCTTTTTTTAAATTCATTTAAATTCTTGTTAAATTCTTGTTTAAATTCTTGTTTAAATTCTTGTTAAATTCTTGTTAAATTTCTTTTGAAAAAAAATATTAAATGTTTTTGGTAAACAAAAGATTTTTTATTTGCCAATATTAAGAGCGAGTAATTAAAAATCTGCAAGTGACACAGAAAAATTTCGATTTCATGGTAGTCACTTACGGAAAGGACTATTAGTAGAATTGTTTAAAATATATTAAATAATCGACGTATGCCTATAAAAATTTATTTATGGCAAGAGTTTCAGTAGATTTTGGCATGATATGGAAATCTAATTGGTAATTGAAATTTTATTTTGGTAAATGTTTCATTGTCCACACTGCTATATGTAGTATCTGTGCGTAAATTCTCACAATCTAATAAACATAATGGGATAAAATGGAAGACAAGGTTTTCGTCTTTTTCGAAAAAATGAAAATTTTCGTTACATTGTTTAATTGTTTAAATTGTAAATTGTCTAAATTGTAAATTGTTTAATTGTAAATTGTTCCGTCTTTTTCAAAAGAAAGGATTTATTATTATTGTTTTGCTTTGTCTTACATTTCACGCATTTAATATTCTTTTTTTAAATTCATTTAAATTCTTGTTAAATTCTTGTTTAAATTCTTGTTTAAATTCTTGTTAAATTCTTGTTAAATTTCTTTTGAAAAAAAATATTAAATGTTTTTGGTAAACAAAAGATTTTTTATTTGCCAATATTAAGAGCGAGTAATTAAAAATCTGCAAGTGACACAGAAAAATTTCGATTTCATGCAGGGCGCGAAATACCAAAATAGGTTGCTCCAAAAATTCCGTCGATCCTTGATTTCATCATAAAAATCATTCGATTAAAAGACGGAAGAACTTAATCAACTTAACGTTTAACCAAAGATACAATTATAGATGTCGAAAGTACTTTTGATGAGAATGGAAAATTAAGATATGGAAATCAATCTAATAAATTCTTGGATAACGTTCTGGAATTTTATGATGATGATGGTATTCATGAAATTATGTTGGAAGAAAAGAGATGATAAATTTGCATCTTTGGTTGTTTTAAAGCTTGAAAATCGTTTCCAATCTGTTAAATGCTATGAAAAATTTTTATTATATCAGTATGGTCACCAAATGTGAGGAACTCAATCAAAGTTGTGGAAGGAATTCACAGATGATGAGAAGCAAACCTTTTATCAACTTATATAATACTGCTCAGAAAATTTTCAGTCTGAAATTTTCCGCGTCAAATCTATTCTAAAAGGTCAATAATGATATATACAAAAATTTTGCTGGACCAATTATTGATCCAGATAATATCGATGACAAAATTTCTCAATTTATCCCAATATCATAAAACTTTTATTAATCCCCTTTTTTCAAGTGTTGAATGCGAGAGAGAGTCTCCAAGGAAAAATTTACAGATCATTGAGGTTTATTAACCAATGAAACATGATTGGACACAAGATTTTTCAGAAATACTGATTTTTACAACGAAAAGATCTGCATAATAATAATAATAATAATAAAATAAATTTAGCCGTATTGTCGATCATGTAAAAATCATCCAATTAACGCAGTAAAATTTTTGCTTGTAAATCCAAAATAATAAAGCCGATTTACCATTACTATTTATAGGAATCATTAAGATAATGATAATCAATCAATGATTTCTCTCGTACCACACACAAATATTTAACAAACAAGCACACACACTTCCCTTTAAGCAAATTAAAAGGGAATTCTATAATAAGAAATTAATTTAGAATTAAGCATTCATTATTTATTTATTGATTCACCTTACATGTTTATTATTATTTATTTTATCGTTAATAAAGAAATAATCTATAAAATAAAATGTATTTATCCTTCTTTCAAAAAAATTATTTATTGTCAATTTTTAATGAGTTTATATATAATTAATTATATATAAAAAATAAAATTTATCATCAAATAAAATAAAATAAAATAAATAAAATAACAATGATGAGTGAATTCCCACGCATTTCATTACCTGTACCTTTAATGAAACCACATTATGATGTGGTAGTTATTGGTTCAGGTTATGGAGGTTCAATTGCTGCTTCACGTATGTCAAGAGCTGGAAAACGTGTCGCTCTTTTAGAAAGGGGCAAGGAAAGATGGCCAGGCGAGTTCCCACAAAAGTTACACGAATGCGTAAAAGAGTTTCAAGGTTCCATTCAAACAAAATCTCTTGGTCAAAAAACCGGTTTATATCATCTTTATGACGGTGAACAGCAAGATGTTCTTTGTGGTTGTGGGTAAGTAATATATATGTGCGCGTGTGACGTATTATTTTCGATTGGATTCTCATAAAAAAAATTAATCGAATAATTTAATTATTAATTAGTCTTGGAGGTACATCACTTATCAATGCCAATGTTGCTCTCGAAGCCGATGAACGTGTTTGGAAACAAACTGTATGGCCACGAGAAATTCATGAGGATATGGAAAGTATTGAACGAAGTACGTAATAATAATATAAATTCATCATTCATTATAATAATAATCATCACCATAACGATAATGTAATAAATTGCAGACTATGGTAGAGCAAAAGAAGTAATTCATCCATCCCCATATCCCGAACATTTTCCTGAAGTTCCAAAACTGAAAGCTTTAGAAGAACAAGCCAAGAGATTAGGCGAAGAGTTTCACAAGAACTTTAAACGTATACCCGTTGCCATCTCATGGGAGGATCGTGTTAATTATGCTGGTGTTAGACAAAATGGTTCAACATTGGTTGGTAATGATGTTTCTGGTAATAATGATGGAAGTAAAAATACAATGTTGATGACTTATATTCCTGATGCTTGGAATCATGGATGTGAAATATTCTGTGAAGTTAACGTGCCAAGAATAAAAAAAGATAGTAAATCTAATAAATGGATTGTATTCTATGAATGGTTAGATGTAAGTATAATTAATTATTAATTAATTACATGAAAAGAATATTTTATCTACTTAATTTATTTATTAACATAATATAAATTTTTATAGACCGAAAGATGTACTTTTTCAGATGAAAGTACAGTGCATCTTTATTTTGTTACTGCAGATTCAGTTTTTATTGGTGCTGGAACTATGGGTTCCAATGAAATTTTATTGAGATCAAAACTTTATGGTTTGCCAACTAGTCCAAATGTAGGAAAAGGTTTTAGCGGGAATGGTGACGTAAGTAGTTGATTAACTAATTGGTAGGATGGGATGGATGGACTGGTGGATGAATTTATTAATGAAATTTTTTTTATTTCAATAGATTTTGGGATTTGCTTTTAATTCAGACATACCTGTTCATGGTAAGATTTTCGCAACACATTATTTTGTGATAAAAAAATATTAGAATTAAATAATTAAATAGTTTATAATTAAATTACAGCTGTTGGAGTTAAGGAACGCTCACATCAAAAGAAAGCTGTTGTTGGTCCAGATATATCCGGTGTCATTGACATGCGATTGACTGGTGGAGAATTTGATGGTTATGTGATAGAAGATGGTACGCTTCCGCATGCTATCAGAGCACTCGGTAAACTAGTTATCCATACTACTGATAATTTTTGTGGAGTAGATCCTCCAAATATCGGTATTAGCAAGTCAATAGCTAGAAAATGGAGAAAATTTGTTACAAATCTTGCGGGCGTTTATCAAGGTGCAATGCTGAATACACAAATATATTTAGTCATGTCACATGACGATCATTCTGGTCAAATGGAATTAGTTGATGACAAACTTAAAATTCAATATCCTGGAGTTGGCGAGTCAAAAAATGCCATAAAAATTAATGAGGTGTTGAAAAATGCTGCATTTTCCATTGGCGCATCCTGGGTTCCATCGCCAACATGGAATAAACTCAATCATCGTGGTCTGGTTAGTGTTCACCCTCTTGGTGGTTGTAATATGGCATCAGATGGTAGTAAAGGTGTTGTTAATCACAAGGGTCAAGTAAGTTTTTATTTTTTGAAAAATAAAAATAAAATCCATACATAGATATATAATTTATTAAATATAAATATTTATTTAAGGTATTTACAGGCTCTGGTGTAGAAGTTTACGAAGATTTATATATATGTGATGGTTCAATTGTACCAACATCACTTGCAATTAATCCATTCTTAACTATTTCCTGTCTATCTGAAAGAATTTGTGAACTGGCCGCAAAAGATAATGGTTTGAAAATTGATTATAAACCTGCAGAACAACTTATAGACTTTACAAAACCACTCAAATCATTTAGAGATGAAACTCATGAACTTGTTAAACTTTCACGAAAAGGTCCTTTAGAAAAAGGTATCTCCTTCACTGAAGTAATGAAAGGTTATTTCTCAACTGAAATTATTTCTAAAGATTTTGCGGTTGCTGAAAGTAAGTCATCATATTGTATTAGAGTTAGTATTATTTAATTTGCACGTATATTAATAATGCTGTTCAAATAATTTATTCAATGTATTTATATAGAACAAGCTAAATCTGCCGACTCAACAATGCAGTTTTTATTGACGATAATTTGTCAGGACACCGATAAACTTATTGATTTGGACGATAATTGTGCATTCATAACTGGAACTGTTTCATGTCGAGCCTTGTCACCTGATCCATTACTCGTGACCAGAGGAAAATTCCGTCTTTTCGTACCTGAACCTGATAGTGTTGACTCAAATAGAATGATTTACAACTTGAATTTATTGGCTACTGATGGGTCAAAATATCGATTTAAAGGATTCAAATTGGTTAATAATTCAAATGTTCTTCATGCCTGGTATCAGACAACCGCTCTATTTGTCTCTGTTTACCTTAGAAACAAAAAAGATGATGATCTTGAACTTGATGAAATTAATGCAAATCAAGGGGGTATAGGAGAAGTGGATGATGATGAAAATGAGAATTTACAAATTGTTGGTAGAGGAATTTTAAGAATAAGACCATTTGATTTCTTTACACAACTTAGAACGATTGAGGTATTTTTTTTTTAAAAATTTTTTTTTTTGATTTTTGATAAATATTTATCGTTATTTATTTATTTATTTTTTTGAATTATGGTAGGCGTCCGGAACTAAAAGGAGTTCAGCGTTCTTATCATTCCATCGATTCTTTGTTATGACTTTAATGAAACATTCTTTTGCTATACTACGCAGTTTGGAGTATCCAACCACTTTATCCGCAAAACTATTAACCCATTCAAAATTTATAAGGCCAAAAAAGAAAACTTATACCATCACATCTGAGGATGGTATCAAGTCAGCATTACATAGATATGAAGGTGGAAGAAAAGGTCCTGTATTATTGGTAAGTTAATTATTAATTATTAATTGATTAATTAATCTATTCTTTTATTTTACTTTATTCTAATAATTTTATAATATTATTAGACACATGGAGCAGCAATGACTTATGAAATGTGGTCTACAGATTTTTCTAAAAACAATTTATTGGATTATCTTTTGGAAAATGGATATGACGTTTTCTTAAATGATTACCGTCTTGCACCAACAAATGCAGCAGTGCATGATCAACATACTGTTGATAAAGTTATGTTGGATCAGGTAGCTGCTGTTAATGAAGTTCGTAATATTACTGGTGTTGAAAAAATTGCTGTTATAGCACATTGTGTTGGTTCTCTTATTACTTTTATGGGAGTATTAAGTGGTCAAATTAAAGGTGTAGGAACAATTATTTGTTCTTCTACGGTATGTAATAATATTATTGCCAGAATGATTAGAATACTTTATGATTTACGTAAATTGATATATGCATACATATCTTTTATGAATCCATTTATATTTACACGTTCTCTCTTATACACACACACACATATAGTCAATGCATCCATATCTTGGATTTTGGAATAGAGTGAAAATGAATTTGAGATTAATTGATGTTTATAGATATGTCTTACGTCGACCAGCATTTGATGTAAGAACATCGGCTGACACCAATTTCATTGATCGAATCATCAATCAACTATTAAGATTTTATCCAGTACCAAAAGGACAAGTGTGTCGAAATGCATTGTGTCTTAGAGCATCTTTATGTTACGGCACATTGTATCAACATGAACATCTTACACAACAAGTTCACGACTATCAACATCAATTCTTTGGTTCAGTGAATCTAACTACACTCAAGCATCTTTTCACAATGGCTCGTAAATGTAAATTAGTTGATTACAATTCCAAAGATATATATGTTAATGATGAAAATGTGAAAAACAATTTAAATTTCCCTATAACATTTATTCATGGTGATAAAAACGTTGTGTAAGTATATAATGCATATATATATATTACTATGTTAATTATTATTTATAATGTTTTTTGTTTGAATAAAATTTTAATTTATTATTTATTATTTTATAGGTTTGAGATAAGTTCAACAAGAAAATCATATGATTATATTCGTCAAATAAATGACCCCGACAATTATAGTCTTCGTGAGATTGATGGATATGGACATCTTGATGTTTGGTGGGGAACTAACGCAATAAAGGATGTTTATCCAATAGTTTTAGAACATTTGGAAAAAAATAAAGATAAATATGGCTATCATTAAAATGATTAGGTCATTTGTATTTATTTAATAATATATATATATAGTGCATGTAATATTATATATTTATAGTGCGTGTAATATTAGATTTAATATTAAGGGGTTTAAGAATTAAATATTTTACTTTTTAGAAGTTTTGTTAATAATATTTTTTTCCAAGATTATTCATTTATCACGTATCAATTGATACAATAATCTGATTTGTTCACTCATGTAAATATTTTGATTAATTGAAGGAATCATAAATTAATCACGTTTTGAACACATCCAACCTAAGACAGAAAATAATCATCAGCAAACCTACATTGCATAATGGATGGTATTATATATAAAGTATTATTTAGAGCCAACTTTGGGTACAATTCTCTTTGTGAAACTAACTGGCTAGAATTTTTATCTCGACCCAAAAACTAATTGTTGTATGGCATATTTGTCTAAAAATATCAAGTTAAGACCTTTTCCTGTCTCTATTAAGGGCGAAAAATTAATTTTATTTAAATACCTCTATAAAGTGGGTATATAGTAAAAAATAATCCAAGTAAATAAATTTTAAAATCAAATTGTTTCCATTTTTTGTTGAATTTTTCAACATAAAAAGAATGAAAGGAATTTTTACAGCCATGCTGAATTTTGTTAATTGAATGAAACAATCTGTCAATGACATGATCCTAAACTCCAAAGCAATTATTGTCTCTTTAACTGGTTGAACTACTTTAATATGTTCTTCAACGTCTTTAAAAAACTCTATTCCTAAATAAATTTCAGGGTTTTGTTCAAGGATCTAAAAATAAAAA